ATGTTAAGTATAGACTATAGACTAACACATAAATAGAATATGTGGTTTGTATAAACACACTCAAATGGTGAATTCCTTTTAGAGATCCCACAATGAATTTCGTAATGGATAATTAGCAGATCTGACATGTAAGGCTGTCAATAGACTCTGGAAGTCTGAAAACCAATCCAGCATCTGATGTGATTATTTTGGATTCAAGTTTTAGAACTTGCAATCAAGGTTCAAAGTATCAACATGTATCGGCCCGTATTAGTCGATACATGTAAGGCTGTCAATTTACTCTCACCCTTACAGTGAGTGTATCGGAGGTTCGACCCGTTCAGGGGGTAGAGGAGACCTAAATCGACCCCCCTGAATTGGTTGTGAAAAAAAAAATAAAAAAAGAGCCTGAAACACTATCGATTCACTCGATACACCCATACCAGCATATTGGACGTATCAATAATTTGAACCTTACTTGCAACCATCTAACAATCAGAACTAGGGATACAACTTTGATTGAATCGATTGAACATTTTGTCAAATTTTCAATGGACCAACATCCTAATTCTAGGGTGATATAATTGAAATTCTTCTAATCAGGCAAACTGACTGTGCAACCCTAGATTTAACCCCATCTGATACCATTAAGATCTGAGTTCAATTAAATTTAAAGTCTATATGTAATACAATTATGCATATTTACATAAATACTATATCTAATCATATAAAGTTTATAATTAATAAATTTAATATTTTATATTATATAAATTTGTTAATATATAAATGAAAAAGTAGTTATCTTTTTAAAATTTTTTGTTTTATTTTAAACATATATAATAAAGTATCCAAATTCAAGCCAATTCCAACAATTCCAATTTAAAGTATCGCTTGAATTCGAATATACTGGACCCCTTATCCAAGATACAGCCTAATCGAGATTCCTGGTGCAACCGGTTAAAAAGTAAAATTAGAGGATTTGAATTCATTACTCTTCATCCTTCGAGTGGGTATCGGTGCATATCTTATCTTTTTTTTTTTTTTACTTTTTAATTATATAAGTATTGAGAATTTTATACGGGTTTTAATTTTTTTAAAAAATCTTTGTATCAATATATATGTATTACGAATACGATACACCTCAATCTATATTTTAATCCTTGTTCATAAACATATAACTATTTTATTGACACCAGTATTTGCAAAGTGAGTTGTGATGTATTAAATGACAGGTGTCAACATTTAGATGATGAACTTAATTGGTGTGTTCATGGGTGTGTTTAGACCTGTTCATGGGCCAGGCCGGGCTAGGCTCAGGCTGGGCTTTCACTCTATATTAACAGAATTTTCTAAGGCCCGAGCCCGGCCCTCATAAAAAGTTTGAAGCCCGAGCCTGGGCCCGAGCCTGAAATTTAGCCTATACTGTTAGCGGCTGAAGAGAAAGAGAGAGAGAGAGAGAGAGAGAGATTATAAAGAAAAAAATGTATATATTAAATTATAAATATATATTTTAATAAATATTATTTTATTTATATATTTTATATAATATATATTATATATTATATATTTTATAAAATATATAATGTTGAATCGGGCCGGACCGGGCTCGGGCCGAGCTTTTTTGACAAATCCCGAGCCTGGCCCGAAATACAGTCGAGCTTACTGTGTTAGGCCCGAGGTCAGACTCACGGGCCTAATTACATGACCAAGCCCGACCGAGGTGCGGGCCATCAGGCTACCTGGCCCATGAACAGTTCCGTGTGCTTACCACTATACCAGGTCCGGACTCTTTAGTCTTTGCTTCTGCCAAGCGCTAGGCAACTCTACCTGGTTACCAAGTGGTCCAAATCCAAGCCAAACAGAAGATAATTAATGATGTCGTTCGCCTCCAACTTTGTTACCAAACATTCAATCAAACTTCAGACAGCCTTATCCTGCTCCGATCTGCTTACGCTGATGAGTGTTGGGGGTACGTCGGTACGATTTTTTTTGGTGTCGTTTCATTTGTTTTTAACCAGGCCAAATAGACCGTGTGACCCTGAAAATCTGTACATCTTGACCCACCAATCCGCTCGTTCTATTGTTCCAATCCCGAATAGGCCCGCTAACCGAGCTTTTCTCAAGATTCGCTCCTACCACCTCTGACGCATAAAAACAAACACCTTTCACAAAATAACACAGAACGATATAGACCGGAACACAAGTGAGATGTCGGTTTCTCGTTCCCGATAACTATCATATGGAGCCTGCGCTCTGCACAAGTGCAGTGTGTTGTATTCCTACAGACTCCTTAGTCCTTACACTTGGACTTTTGCACCCCGAGTATTAAATTAATAGGTAAATTTCTTAAACTAAATCTTAAGGTTTAACTAATTGATTAAATATACTTTAAGTTTCAAAATTGATTGAGGCTACTCCTAGTGTTTTTCACAATTGATTAATTCTATTCTTACCGTTAAACTATTTTGCCACTTAAAAAATAGAGCTCTAAGACAGCTCTATAACTCCCGTTGATGGATGGAGTTATATGGCAATGATGTCTAAAATAACCCTGTAACTCCCGTCGCTAGGTGGAATTACATGGAAGTGCTACCACCGTCGCCCAGGAAGAAGGGAGAGATTGAAGTTCAGAGACGAATGTTGTCGTCGTCGCCCATAGGAAGAAAGAAGAGAAGAGAGGTTGGTCTTCAGAGGGGTTTCCGCCACTATCATCCAAAGGAAGAAGAGAGAGAAAGATCGGACTTCGAGTTACCGCCGCCGTCGCCCAGAGGAAGAAGAGAGAGAGAAATCGGACTTCAGAGGAGTTGCCACCGCCGTCGCTCAGAGGAAGAAGAGAGAGAAAGAAAGATCAGACTTCAGAGGGGTTTCCGCCATCGTTGCCCAAAGGAAGAAGAGAGAGAGAGAAAATCGGACTTCAGAGGGGTTGTCATCGCCTCAGTTCGCTCATACCACTTCGGTTGTCGCCGCTGCCATCGCTCATAGGAAGAAGAGAGAGAGAGAGAAAGATCGAACTTCCGCCACCGTCGCCTCAGTTCGCTAATACCACTTCGGTTGCCATTGAGCACCCCCATTGTTTGTTTTTACGCATTGTGTAAATATCGCCTACTCTCTCTTCCTCTCTAGCTCCCATGGAATCTCCCAGACTTCTCTATGCTTTCTTCTCTTAGCGTTCTCTCTCACCCCTCCTCAATTATTTCTCTTTTTTTTCACTTTCTTATTTCTCTTCTCTGTGTATTTTCTTGTACTTGTAAGAATAATTTTCTGGTGCAATGGAGATGGAGAGTTTTTGCTCTAAGGTTGTGGTTGTGCAGAGGATGGTCTGCTCTGTGATGGAAGCCTTGGTAGTGGAGATGGCTTTGATTGCGAGTATGCGGCATCGAGAGGAAGGAGACAAGAGTAGCTTTGGATTTTAAAAAATTTTAAACATCAAATGATATTATTTATGTGCGTACGAATTTTAACGGAATATTTACGGATGATGATAAGGATAAAATTAGTGAATTGTCAAAAACAACAAAGGTAATTAATCAATTTTCAAATAATAAAAATATATGTCAATTAACTAAACCACAAAGGTAGTTTAAAAAATTTATCCTAAATTAATTAATTAATAGAGCAAAAGATGGAAACCCGATAAATTTTTACCATAAAAACTCCGATATTAATTCGGTGTTATCTAATTTGAAGAAATCCACGTGGCAAGTTTTGATAGTAGTTATAACACGTGTCAGTCTGGTATGGTTCTCTGGGTTGGCCGGGCCACATCTGCAGTGCAGTCAGTCACCGTCCTGTACGGAGATTCGGTGGTAAGTCAAGCTTTCCTCTCTTAAAAGCTGTCCGGACTCCAGACGGCCAGAGTCCAGACACCCAATAACGCGACAGATGCCCACGCGCCCGTAGGCCTAAAAGTGTACCATCTACTAACCAATCGGGCAATCGTCATTGATGGAACCACAGATCTGAGAGTGAGAGGGAAGGGGTTACCGCAAAAGTTTAATCATCATTAGTCACAGAAGGGGTGTGAGCCTGAGACTAAGAGAGGGCGTAAAATATGGATTCCAACCTGACGGTTGGAAGTCGGTCATCGTGATCAACGGTGGAACCAGTTTGTTGAATCGTGCAAGCGATTCCACCTGGCCGTTGATCTGAGACTTCTCTCAGGATTCAGGATTAGTGAGCTGATGTATGCTGAGTAGTGGAGCGGAGTAGTGATTACTGACTCCCTGGCTGCTTGGGAAGATGAACGTGCGTGACTAGAATGATCCTAGGACCTGGACCCTACACGATACCGTTAGCTGCCAAGGTTGTTCTTGCATTTTGATTAATAGACTGGGGCGGTAGGCCCTAGGGGGTCTGAAATCTGAAAATGGGTTATGGGTGAGCATGTGCGCGTGGCTCTGGGAATACTGAATAGTGAATACCCTCCTCAATTCTCCATTCCACCGGAACTGAGACCAAAATGTTTTGGTCTGTCGTGAATCCGACCGAGTTGCTTGTTCCTCACTCACGTGAGCCGAGACACCGACCTTAGAAGATCCCAACTCCTACACGGCTACACTCAAATGGCCAGATCCTAATCCGCTTCGGCTTATTAGTAGAACCTGGGTTGAGGGTTGAGGGTTGAGGGTTGAGGGTTGAAGGTTGATACATGCTGTGCATGCAGTAGTCAGTAAAGGAATTTCAGTGGTGAGCCACCTTCTTTACATCCGACTGGAATATACTTAACTCCCATACCCCAGCCATTTGATACCAATTTAACGGTTTAGAGTGCTTTCCATCAGAATTTAACGTTTTGGATTCGCGGGTATGAGATTATGATTTATGAGCACCGTTACTTGTGAGCGTAAAGCGTAGAGGCTAACCACAACAAGAGTGAAGGAAAAAATGTGTTAGCAATTACAAACATTGATGAAAAGGGGGTCCGTCCATTAATTAATTACTACCATCACCGTCTACAGCTTAGATAAAAACAGAAAGCATATCGATGACTGCAGTAGTAGTAGTAATGTAGTACTGCATTGTCAAACTAAACGATAGAAGGAAGGTTGGTAAGAGATAAGAAAGAAGAGGAGGAGAAGAACAAAGGCTACGCCCCAAGGCGAACCCCCAGCTCTGTGAATGGCTCCTGGTTCCGACCCTGGCACCGGGAAGCTAAAACGGCTCGACGGGGGCACTGCGGACAGCCAGTGAACCACAACAACTAGGAGCAGCGGTGAAATCACCAGGAAACGCTTGAACTGCTCGGCTGCCGGGACCATTATGGCGTCGTAGACTACGTACCACAACAACCCACACAGCAGCACCACCATGGCTGTCACCACCAACCTCTGCTCCGAAACCCCATAGCTTGAAGTGTTTACTTTGGTACCTGCAGCCATGAAGAAAAAGAAAGAATGGTGAATCCTGAATCGGTGATGTGAGGGAAGGACTGAGGAGAGAACGAAAGAGGAGTAAGAAGAAATAAAAATGGGCTGTGTCCTTTTGTTCAGCAGGGAGAGTTATTTCTGAGGGAGTATATTATGTCGTTTTATAGGAGTGGAATATTTCAGATTTCACTGAAGGCCGTGATAATTGATATAGAGGCCCATCTCTGCATGTGGTGGTAGCCCACCCACCCAGAGCCTCTTAAGTGGGCTCCAAGGCATGGTATGTTATATAATAGCAGATGATTCAACTATTCAAGATTCTAGAGTTGCTTAATCCATGGGTTTTGACCAATTGTAATGCACTGCACCACATGAGCAATCTAAAGATGGCATCAATGCAATCGTAACCAATCAAATCTGATATCGTTTCATCTGTTCTTGGAATAGTGTTTTAATCTATGCTTTAACCGACTGCATGTGGTTTTCAGATAAAAAGTGACAAGTGGTCCATTGAATCTGAACGACCCAGCGTGGCTGTGACGCACGGTAGTCAGTACATCCATGAGCTAACATAACATATTCAGTTATGATCACGACATAAGACCTTCTAACCCTGGTGATCCAGGTTGTGATCAGAACAGATGGCTCATTTCCAGGCCCAAGTTGGCAGCAGGTTGGGCATGGTTTGTGGTCTGGGCAGGATCTGGGCCCAAATTTTGCGCCCAAAGTTGAATTCGTATTGGGTTTAGGCCTATCTCAATTTGCAACCGAATATAACTTGGTTATGTTGATTGATATGACCGAACTGATCTATCTATCCATCCAAATTCCAAAACCATAGTCTCTCCCTAGATTCTAAGGTTTGTCTACACCGAACAACTTCGTTAATTTTGCTTTCGAGTTTTACTCTACTTTGCTTCCGTTTTATTTTACCTTGTCCACCGAAATCAAACAAAATAAAGTGAAATCTGAAACAAAAACAAATACAAATATGCACAGTTTTAAACCTTGTTTTGTACTGTACATATTTGTATATTGTACTCTTCCCAAACTGAGCCAAAAATAATTGCATTGCAAACAAATCAGACCTGAATTTGTAAAATGAGAAATTTGGCAACAAAAATACACTAAGAAAATATTGGAAGAACAACGATACTGGCTTTGGAAACTTTCAGCTTTTTCGCATTAATAATTGAGGAACAAAGTTTTGGCTTGCATTTAATATTGAGCATGTATAATATATTAGAGATATACAGATTATTGTTTATACATATAAAACCAAACTAGAGGTAATATAATATCCAATAACTTTGGTGATGGAGAAGAATATTCCTGTCAAAAAGCTGAACAAAGCAGGCTTTCCACCGCTTGGTTTGGGGGCTCACTAACTTAATTTGTCTGATGCTCATGTTGGGGTGGAAACTTCTAACTCAACTAGAAGTGCAACTTGGGTCGGGTTGGGTCAAGAATTTGTTAAATTTTCAATGGGCTCAAGCCCTAATCCAAGCCCAATATAGTTAAAATTCTTTTCATATCCGGCAAGGTGGCAACCCTTTCTAACTTGCAGCCTTAAACCCAACCCACCTATTTAGGACGTGCTGGTGGTTAAGGGGGCAGTTGTTTTTTTTGTTTCCAAAAACAAAATCAACGACGTTGTCGAACACCCCCTAAACCACGGTTAGTCCTTTGGTTTAGTTCAAAATTGAACTAGATGATGCATTGGTTACATTTTCTGCTCAATTGGCTTGTTTCACAGAGTTGGAGGGGTGAGATGCTGATTTTTTATGACGAGAGAGAGAGAGAGAATTGTTGCTGAATACCCCCTTCACGTTGCTCTCTCCAATATGCATAAGCAATTAGGTGATACGCAATTTTTTTTCTTTCTTTTCAGAAGAACAAAATTATGCAATATGCAAATAGGTGATAAATGGGCTGATGGGTGGGTCATAATTCAATCCACACCTTGACTTGTCCATTTGGAAAGATTTAAAACTTAGTCCAATCTCAACTCTGGGCTGGATGTGCTGACTATCGATCTATCTCTCCGCTGAAACTTTAGCTCAACTTGCATATAAACCCATCTAGGTCAGCTGCGAATGCTAATACTAGTACGATCGAATAGGAAAACAAGAAATTCAGAGATGATCCCCCCTATCAGATAGAGTGAAATAGTTTAACTTTGGGCTGGACCTGATGCTTTCTGTATTTTCTTCTCTTCATACACCGTCCCCAGTGATTTATAGTCATTTCAATTCATCAAAAAAGGAAATTAAAAGTCTTCTGGACGAGAACCCAAAAAAAAGAGAAATGTGACTTCAAATTAGTAGGGCCGATTTTTAATTTCTTAGTCCTGACTCCTGCGCTGCTTAACAACTTGCAGCCTGGACCACGCACCTTTGAATTCTTTCTGAAGAGAGATGAGGAATCGTACTTGCTATCATATTAAAATAGTGGAACTATATAGACAAATAGACAATCGACTAGCCGAGTGTGTGTTGAGGCCCTGGGATGGCTTAAGCTTTGACTGAGCTGCTCTCACTGAGCCGCTCTGAAGAAGCTTCATCGGATTTTTTTTTTCTTTAAACGACAGTTTATAATTATTTGGGCTTTTTGGATTTTTCATCAAATATATAGCCTAAGGTTATTCGTATGGTGGGGCCCCACCTCGCTAGGTCAAAAGTCGCTCCAGGAAAACCCTCCCAAATGGCCACTTGGTTCGTAGGCTTGAGTTGACCCGCTTCAACACCGAAGGAGATTCATTTGTTTCAATTGTTTTTTTTTTTTCTTCTCATAAATTTCATTAAATTAGTTGGAAGGATAGAGGACGTCCTGAGCTCCTGATGACTGGAATAGGATGGTAGTTGGGTTGCTATTTGGGTTGGGCTTTTGTGACAATTTGAATGGGCTCATCCCATAGTACGAGCTCAAAGCAGTGTAAATTGTTAACTCGGCCCAACCCGAGATAATAGTTTGTTTCCTAGAAATAAAAGTCCCTTGGGTTTGGGTTAGAATTTAGAAAGTTACTGCAGATAAAGAAAAAGTTCATATATAGGTTGAATATATTCATTATTGTCAGCCTGTCACCTTTAGAGGAAGCTCATTTAGACATTAGGCATATTCTAAAACCTCAAGTGCATGGGCTATATAAGGCATTATCTTGTTTAGGGACTGAGAGGGCTAATGGCCATAAGGGTTAGAGATGATTCATTTCAAATTAGCTGATGAATCCATCCACTAGGGCAACTATTTGTGTATTTTGTTTGGAACGCTCAAAGAAACTTTGGACATTATAATGGGGTAATGAGAATAGAACAATGGATCATTTGGTCAAAGTGACTTTGATATCATCTCAAAAAATCATTCAACCTAAAAGCTTAAACTGTTAGGTGGGGTCTTTGAATAGGTTAATATTCTCTAACAGAAAACACTATCAGAGTGAAAATTTTTCTAATTGATAATAACCTTAAGATCGAAAGTAAATAATTGAAGTATGTGCCCATAAATCACATATAAAATTAATTAAAGCTCATACACACCATCACTATTCCTCCAGCCAATGGCGAATGGTTCGAATTTTGGTGATAACACGTTGGGAGATTCACTTAGTTTTCCGTAACGAAGATAGAATTCTGGACCCTGAAGCAAGACCTGCTGTCATCTCTCCCCCCAAAAATTATAGTTACAACTGTGTAGTGGAATGTAAAGCTTGTAATCAAATAGGGGTGGTCATAAAAAATCGAGCCAAAACGAGACCAAATCAAAAATTACAGTTAATCGAATCGATCAGTCAATACAAAAAAATCAGTGGTTAATAGAATCAATTGATATATATATATATATATATATATATATATATATTTTATATTATCTATATATTATATACATAAATATAATATATAATATATTATTTATTATTTATAATATGATATTATATATATATATATATAATTCTAATTTTTTATAATATATATTATAGAAATCAAAAAACTGATAAATCAAACTTGAAGTTAATCAAATCGATCAACTTGATTTAGTTTCAATTACCGATTTTTCAAAATTTGGTACTACGTACTATCAATTTGATTTAAAAAATAGGCCCACAGTTTTAGTTAACGGAACATGAGCACCCCTACTTGTAAGGTTGTGTGAAACTACTCACTACTGAGATAGCAGAGATGCCACTATCCGTCAAGGGTGTATGGCTGGCATTCAGTGGGCCTTTCCCAAGATTATCGTGAAATCAGATGCCCCGGAATCAAGTCATCTCATCAACCCACCTGGATGGCACCCGTGTGGCCCTGTACAACTCTACATTCATATAGGATAGCCCTTTTGTTCATGCATTCCGGCCGGGGAACCATTTGGCCCCACCAGCTAGCTAAGGTGGCTGCCCGTTTTTGGTTCGAGTGTTAACTCTTTGTATTCCCCTTCTTTTCTCACAAATGCAAATCTATTTTAATCAAAATAAAAGATCAGCCTCTTTTACATTATTTTTGGTTCAAAGAAAACAATGCCACTAAAAAATTAAAAAAAAAAATGATACAATTCTGTAATCGTACCATCCTTTTCCTCGACCATGAATCGAACACCATCTAAATTAGATTTAATTTATAATTAATTAACATGATATAGAATGAGTTCATGCAAATTGTTGTAATGTAAGTGTATTTGTTTGGGACCCACAATCCACCCGGTAAGTCTTAAAAGCTTTGGGTTGGACTTGAAAAAATTAAATTAGACTTTTTTTTTCCAAGTAAAGGATATGATTACTAAACATTAGTGAAAGTATCCTTTCTACCATAAAAAATTATAAGGGTCTGTTTGGTTCGTAGTCAGAATTGGAATCAGAATCAGAAATTCCTATAGTTTGTTTGGTTCAGACAGGAATGGAAATGGAAATTAAAATCAACAAGAATGGGATTTCATTCCCAAGGGAGGGGTAGGAAATGGCCATTTTCTCAAATAGGAGAATGCCATTCCAACAGGGATGGGAATAAGATTCCAATTCCATCCAACCAAACAGTTGGACCATTCTGATTCCAATTCCAGATCCATATTCCTGCAAACCAAACGAACCCTAAATACTTTTATTTTGAATTAAAACTTAGGCCCCATTTGATTCGCAGGAATTGAGGTCTGGAATTG